GCTGAGTCTCCTCGCCACGTTGATTCCACTCCGAACTTCCAAAATAGCATGGCTCTTCGCTTCTACCAAATCATCAATCCTCTACATGATGACGTCTACGAGGAGTACAAGCCGTTTGCGATCGTCTATAAGATGCTCACTCCCCTGAACCGCCAACGGGCTCGATCACTTCATCGTACTTTGTCGCACGAGAGGCACCAGTCCTTGCTTCGCCTTTTTGCACCCTAGCCTGCTAGCAACTTTGCTTGTGAGGTCCCCTCCTGCAAAGTAGAGCACCAGGTTAGCAACGTCTCTGTCCAACTAGGACACCAGCAGCCTTTTGCAAGCCAAGATAAAGCAGCGGAAAAGTCTCCTGCATCTCCAACTGCAGCACAGTCCCTTCTCACTAAGACTACTGCGGCATTCTCCGGCAATAAGGTCTTTCTGCAGATAGTTGGAGCCTGATGCAGAGCCAATGCCTCAGCCCTGGCTGATTCACCTAGTAACACATTCAAGTCTGCAGCTTTCTGCTTTCATTGAAGCTTGCCACAGCCGGGCTCAGCCTCTCCACACAGGCTGGCCACGTGAGGTCTCCATCCAGCTAGCAAACCAGCCATGCCTTCACCGTCTCGCGAGGTTCTGCTCGAGATTTTTCTGAAGTCGCTCCACGTCCCAACGACCATCTACCTACCTGGCGGCATCAGTGAGCACATGGCCACATCAGCCTCAGCAACAACTCATCTCGCCCCGAGGAGGCTCCTCTTCACTACAGAAGACCTTGAACGCATGGCAGAACGAAGCATGCGAGTAGCATCACGTCTCTGCAGCTTCATATGTCACTTGGATCGGTACCTGGCTTGGCGCGAGGGAAGACACACTGCCCTGCCCCTTGAGGCTAGCCCACGTATCTTGGCAGGTAAGCGCAAGCACATCGACGACGAGCAGCCTTCAGCGCACCTACCCCCGAATATGGGGCCCCTCCAGCGCCAGCAAATCATGTACCTCACCCTCATGATCCACAACTACACAAATGACGGAGAAGGCTCGCCGTCCTTTAGCACGTCCGAAGCCGATCAGGCTGGTGCTTTAACCTGGCATTATCTCACCGGGAGGCTCTCGCAATCAGAGCTGAATGCCATTCTGCTCCGCACTTTGGAGCAGGCCAAGGTCATTCTGAGGTCTGAATTCACTCCAGCACATCAACGGAACCTACTCCAGCTGCATCCCCAAACGACGGCGGAGACCTGGCAAGGCCAAGCATATTTCCCCCTAGGCCTCCGGCTTCAAGACCCACATCAGCTTGATCTTGACGCATACGATTTCAGAACGCTCAAAAGAGCATCACTTCAGCTTCGCCTACTACAACAACTGCGGACTATTACGGCCTCCACACCTACATCGGCCAGCGACCAGATCCGAGATGGCTGGGATTTCCTTGAACAAGACCGTGATCTCTCAAAGCTTGACTACGAGGACTACCACACCAAATTGGTTTCAATGATCCCGCACTATCAGGAGACACTCCGAGAGATCCTGACACTGTACCGCCTATGGCTGTCAACCCCTCTGTCCGATGAGGACTTCCTGTGGGTGCGCAACCTGGTAGTGAATCAGCTTCTACCTAGAGACACTCTGCATCGCTACTTTGCTGACAGTCTCTGGCAACAAATACGACACAGATATGGAGGAGACCAAGGAGATTTCGAGCAGGCACAAGGAGTCATCACAATTCTTTCCCCGCTCCACGACCAGGTCTATGATGACTATAAGAACTTTGCTGTGGCGCTGACACTGCTCCTCGTTCGACATCGTCAACGTCTGAAGCAGACGCTAGACGACAAAATTCGGGGCTAGAGACCGTCCGAGCACCAAAGCCTTCCAAACGAGTGAGGTCCCCTCCTGTTCACTGCACTATCTTCCCAAATTGCGGGAAAAAGCGTGTAGCTCCGATCTTCCCACGCCAAGCCTCACTAAGCACAGCTCTTCTCGCAAAGTTTTCCCTCAGGTTCGCACGAGTGAGGTCCCCTCCTGGCGAACTTCCACCTAGGCCCATGGCAGACCTTCACCCCGTCCTCAGCCGTGAACAGGCAATGGAGGTACTTCTTGAGTCTCTTTTCCTACCGCTGCCTACCCTACAACTCCATCTGGCGCCGCCGCAGCGAGCAATCTGGACCTGGCATCCTCACGCACCCCTGCGGGGGAAGCGATCCCACACTTGAACCGCCAGATACGGATAGCCTCGCGCACCTGCAGCTTCTTGAAGCTGCTCGCGGAGAAAGTTCACCGGCACATGGGAGAGTTGCGGCTCTACCTTCCCAAAACTGCACCCCGAAACTTGGCCGCAAAACGGAAGCATGAAGAGATGATGCTGACAGAGCCTCGCTCTCCTACTCTAACGTACCATCAGAAGCGCCAGCTCCTCTTCATCTCTCAGGCGATTCGCGACTACACCAATGATGGTCCTGGCCAGAACTCCTTCCAGCTCGAAGATGCGGAGCCTACCACCCAGCGCATCTGGACGTACCTGACGCGCCACTTCGGCCAAGGTGAGGTGCACTTTATGATTGCCAACGCCCTGTCGCATCTACACCTTCTCATGCGATCGTCAACTCCACGCCTACTCTCAGGCATTGAGCAGTCACAGCCATCGCATGCTCCAGGACAAGGCTCGGACTACTTCCCTGACAATCTTCGTCTGCACGATGACAAGCAACTGGACCTTCAATACTTCGACCTGCAGGCGCTAAGGCGAGCCTCCACAGTATACCGGGTGCAGCAGCTGCTCAAAGTCTCTTCTTCCGCCGAAGGGGCATCGCCAGTTAAGAATGGATGGCGCTTTCAACATCAGGACCATCACCTCAATGGTTTGTCCTACGACCCACATCTCCTGGCTCTGCTGCCTCATCTTACGCACTACCAGGACCAAATTCGCGAGGATTTGGTCACGTACAGGCAGTGGCTGCTTCGAGAGATTAATGCAGAGGAAGTTTCTTGGATTCGATCCATGATCGCGGACACGGTTATCTCGCGAGGTGAACTACTGGAGCTCTTCGAGGATGCCCTGCTAAAGCAAGTCAACTCTGCATTTCGAGCTAATGCTGGCATTCCTAACCCTGAGGATCATTCTCAAGACTTCCAGAACAGCATGGCCCTCCGCTTCTATCAAATCATCAATCCGCTCTATGATGACATCTACGAAGAGCACAAGCCCTACGCAATAGTGTTCAAGATGCTCACCTCCTCTCATCGTGGACGGCTTCGGTCCCTCCTTCGAGCTCGAGAAGCTGCCATTCTGGCGTCCCCATATCGGACAACCAGCCTGGTTCCAGTATGCGAGTGAGGTCGCCTCCAGCAAACTGAACCATAGAATCCCTAAGTTCCTCTAGTCCGAATTCTGGACTTAATCACACCTCCAGACCACTGCTCGCACTGCAGAAGAAAAGCCTCCATGCCTCATAATGCACAAGCGCCAGCCTGCATAGCTGATGCCCCCCAGACTCGGCCTGCCTGCAAGCTTGCCTGCTGAGGTTGAAGACCAATCTCGCAGAGAAGTGTACAGAAGCGCAACCCACCTGGCTTGCAATGGCCAGGACATCGAAACAGACCAGGTCCCGAACGAGTAGGTCACTTAATTTTCACCCTCAATGCCCGCCAAGGTGTGGGACATGACCCGCACATGCGTTCGAAATGAAATGAAATGTTGTTGCTGCTGCGGCTGCGGCTGCTGCTGCGGCTGCTGCTACTGCCGCTGTTGTTGCCGCTGTTGTTGTCTTTGTAGTTGTACGTCGTACGTAAGAAGTTGAAGTCGTACTCGTCGATGGGTTCCTGCCTCGATGGGGCTCTCCCAACAGCCCAGGGACCCGCAACCCTGGGCCAGCTTGAGCTTGCCCGTCTCGGGCTCCAGGCTTAAGCCAAACTTCACAAGCTCGCACTCCTCAAGCAGAGTGTGCCAAATGTTGGGCTGTTTGGCATGTTACCCGAGTCAACAAGCAATCAGTCATTGGTTTGGTACCTTCGCCAAACCCTAAACCCAAAACTCAAAGGGCTGAGGTTTCACCCAAGAGATGGCAAAAAGGCCGCTGTGCCCCTCTTGCCCCAAGGGCTGGTAGCGACAGCAAGGCTTTGGGAACAGGCCTGCACGTACCGGAAAGCGGGAACTGCCCGTGTACCCGACACCCTCGCACTTGCCCCTACAACCAAAATTGCAGAAGCTAAGCCTAAACCAGAAGAACTAGAAAACACAACAGAAACGGCAAACTCTGCATTAAACCAGTCCTTGTTCAGAGAGTACTTGTGCGCCGTTCGAGGCAGTGGATGACCAACTACCTCTGTGCGGCCCATGGCCATGGGCCCCACGTAGTAGACGAACCTAAAAGGTTGAAGAGTGCATGAAAAGTGGTGCTGAGGGAAACTAGGAATGTTAATTGATACGCTTGCGGGTTCTTGTGCAAATTAGGATCTGGGATAGATCTTTTATGGTTCAGGGGTTTGGGGTTTTGGGTTTAGGGTTTACTGCTTGGTGAGGTTCGGGGTGGTTTGAGTTTAAAAGTGCCCAGGGAACGTCAACCGTTGAGAGCTAAAGAGTCGTCTTCAAGGGATATCGTCATCATGCGCTGTGAAGAGGACTTTCATGCCATGCCCCCTTCCTCAAACCCTAAACCCCAAATCCTAAACCCCCAACCCTAAACCCTACAAACCAATAGCAGACTGGGCGGCTTGGTACCCTCGCGATGCCCGCCCCCACACGCACAGCACGCTTCGCGGCTCGAAATGCCCTGGTAAGGCTCCTTAGTCTTGATTGCAGGCTGAGGGTTTGTGAATTTTGGTTAGGGTTTGGGATTGGAGTTCTTTAAAGTTATTGGAACCCTCCCAAAGCTCTTTCTAATTGCTCGGGTTCCGACATTATCTGAGTACCTGCCCTAACCGACCAAAAAAGGCATGCATTTCGAGTCTTGTCTATGTGCCAGCCGAGACCTTGAATTCCTCAGATGGTTCTTCTCCAGTCTCTACACTGTAAGGTGTCACGCTTCTCCGATCATGATCCCAAGAATTGGAACATTCCAGAAAACAAAAGCAGGGACTCCCATTTCCCCAACGGACTTCGAAAAACTGCGAGCCCAAGCTTCATCTGAGCAGCTCGCCTCGTAGCAATTCTTGGAGGTGTTGTCCACCCAGTGCGGAAAGTCCATGCAGGCGACACAGGTTCCCGCGGTAAGTCGGGTAAACCCCCCGCTGCAGGTCTTACATGCTCCTGCGGCTCCTGTTGCGTCCATGGCCTCGCAACCTGCGCAGTACTCCTCATGCACAGGGCAGCATCCGAACTCAAACGGATGCTCGCTATTGTCAGCTTGGGGAGCGAACAGCCTGACATGTGTGTCGGGCGAGCATTTGGACGTGTGACTCCTGTTGCTCTTATGTGTCGCAGAAAGTTGCACCTCCCCAAGAGGCCCAAGAGGCTGCCCACGACAGAGTGGGAATGCCTCGTGTTCCGGAGAAGGCTTTCGGGGGACCTTTGGCTGCGTGACGGAGTTCTCCGAACGCGAGGATCCCAGCGTCCCCAGCAGCTGGGTGATGTGTTCCAGCTGTCTCTCCTCCACCTCAACTTTTGCTTGGAGCTCATGTGCAACAAAGCTACCTGAACTCTTCCTGCGACTGAATTCGCCTGAAACGCGTAGCCCGAAAACCCCTGGACCTGCCTGCTTGTCGCTTCTCTCGGTGGCCTGCACTGTCTTTATCTGCTTGATCTCAGCCATGACCGCCTGATTTTGGATGAAACTCGCATATCTTGAAATGATGTGGGGGTTTACAGCTTTACAGCACAGCAAGAGTCATACTGTCACGTGATGCTCTGTGATACTACAGCCACATCACACTCCTGGCGATCGGGCTGTGCAAGACTCCGTCCTTCTTCTCTTGAGCGTCCTTGGCCTTCTCTTCTTTGATCTCGCGAATCAGCTCCTGATCGGATCCTAAACCCTGAAGTCCCTTGCAAAAAGTGTTGCCTCAGCCCGCCCAACAAAAGACCGTGGCCTCACTCCTCAACGCACACTGCAAAGCTTATGCAGTGCAAGTTTGGCAACAAAAGCCCTCCTCGGCCAAGGAGTGGGGCTGCTCGCTCTCGTGTAAGTGAACAGCCTTCGCTTCCTTCATGTCGTCAGTGGCCTCAGCATTCTGGAAAGCCCAAACTTCCAGGGAAGAAATACCGAAGTCAGGTGATGGGCATAGTGCTGGGGTACCACAACAAGCGCTGTGCCCTCAAACTCAAGTCGCAGGCTTTTGCACGGACCTTTACAAAACAACGCTAAACGTGCGCCAGCCTTCTTGAGCAGCTGTGTGAGTTCCTTCACGTTGTTTTGTGTCTCCTTGCATACCAACAAACGAAATCAGGCCCGAAACTTGAAGCCCGCAGAGCACCGGCCTGCTGATCCGCTTGCTGCTTGGCTCGTGCCGCCCTCTCCTCCTGAAGCTCAGCAAGGAGATCCTGGCTCCAGATCGTATGGTGAAGCGACACATACAGTATGGCAGTATGGGTCGCAAGATTCTTGGGGCCGAAGCTGCAATAACTGCAGCTGTTAAAATGTCAGTGACAGAGCCTGTCGTACCGGCCTCGGGACGGAAAGATTGTGTAGCAGGAGTATTCTTGGAAAGAAAACGGACGCCCTACCCACTAGTTCCTCGTCATGCTGCTGCTGTTTGTGCAGCATTTGGCCCTAAAAAGGACCAGTCTAGGTTTCTTTGTATGAAACACCTACCAAAAGCCCCACCCTTGCAACCCCCAAAATTGCAACATGCGCATTTTTTCAAACCTCTCCCTACGTATGCAGTGGATCCAAAGTCACGAGTCAGTCGGTCAGCCCGCTCTCCTCAAGATCTTGCTTCATGTTTCTTTGTCGTTTCCCCTTCATGTATCTGGGGCTTTGCTATGTAGCTATCACTCTGCCATCACACCGAGAGTTAGACAGTTTCCACATTTCGAAGCAGTCACCAAGTCCCGGCTCTGTCGGAGCTTTGATTCGGCAGCACTGTACCGAGTGTGAGCGAAGAGCGACGGGTTGCCAGCGAAGCATTCATTGTGGCACAAGACATTCTGCACAGGATGAGAAATCAGATGATGTAAGGAGCCGCGTGGGGAGCAAGACATCTTGTTGAAGCCCTGAGCATTCGGCACAGAATCTTGGGAAGAAGTTGCGAAGCGGGGCGGGGTGGTGCTCACAGGGCGACCTGGCACTGCAAAACAACTCGTAACACAATAGCCCTCGAGGCAGCACCCGACGCCGGGTTTCGACAGGGCGGGTCTGGGACCTGGGCGCCATGGGGGGTCCTGTTCATTGTCCGTCACATTTGGAATTTCGTTTGTGGCTTGTCTCGTCCCAGGTTCGACCGGGATTTTGGACAGTTTGCTCATACTGCAGTCGTTCGAAGAGGACACCAAATCTGAAACTGCGGCTAGTAGTGGCAGGAAGTATGAGTCCTTCTCCTCCTTGGCACGCGCCACTCTCTCCTCTTGGAGCTCGCGCTCCAGATGCGCCTTGCGGATTCCGAATTGAGTATATATAATCGTTATCAGGGCAAACCAGATGTTGAAATCAAAGGCGCTAAAATCCCAAATACCTGCGGGAGTCAAACTCGACTTGTTAGCACAGAGGGCATGCGAGGTAACGTCAGCCGTCGACACTTACATGGATTGTACAAACATGCTGTTCCTCTCGGTGCTAAACTACAGTATACGACTTGGGAGCTGTCTCATGCCCTCCGACAGAGACTGCAACTGCAGGCCTTCTGTGGCTGACTTATGTTGCAAGTCTTACACCTGGACGGTCAAGCACATGCGATGACACGTCTTAACAGAGATTCAAGTTTTGGCGCGTGCTACTGTGCTTGGGTTGCCTGGCAAGGACGGAAAAATTGAAACAGCTTTGCATTCTCCTTGGCATCGTGCATCCTGGACCTCTTTGCCCAAAGGCTCCAAGTATAAAGATGATCCCTACTTTGGGCTCGAGCCGCAGGGTTTGGAGCTGAAGAAACTCCCCGGGCCGCACCTCCTTGCTCTGGAAGCCTGCTTGAACCTCACACGAAACAGGTAGGTAATAAGAGCGAAACACAGCGGCAACAATGACCTGTTTGGCCGCACGATGTTGTTTTCGCAGCTTTTAGTTTCTTGTACGAAAGCAGTCTGCAGGAGCTTGTGTTGGGGACAGTTTCGTCAAGGCCACCAGGCAACAAGCCTTTTGCACGAGTCTGCCGAAACTGCAGAGCCATTCTTTTCAGCATCAGCACTGTCTCAAGGGTCCATGGCGAGCTGCCTCATCCCAGTGTTGTCGTGTTGAAACCCCTGATCTGCAACAAGACTCAGTTTTAAGGCAGCACCTGGAATCCTTGTGTTAAGTTGATGGCAATAGCGATTCCTCGGCAACCCGCCAGCAAGTCCCCGCAAACAACAACCATCCCACACCTGAAAACAAGCTGCAGGGGCAAGGCGGACTATACTTGCTGGAAGAAACCACAGAAAGCTTGCGGTGCTCCAGTGGAACTCCCAAAAGCACGCCGACCCCGCCTCCTTGAGCAGTTGCTTCATGGCATTGGTTGTGATGGATGCTTCCTGGCAGCGACGTTCACACGCAGACACGCACGTGCTTGAACTTGGAGGCATCTTAGCCACACCATCAAGGCAGAAGAATAACTGCAACAGCCCGGAAGTTGGCACCACAGAGTCCGGCGACCATCAACTGCAGATACTGTTGCTGCAAGGTTCTCGCTGCCTCTATAAAGCAGCCAGACAGGACTGACTTGGGTCTTCGCTCAAGACTCAATTCGCCGCTTCGCCGCTCCGAAAAAAGAATTGAATCACTCCAGACTGCACAAGACTGCACAAGACTGCAAGGATGTCAGACAGCCTTTCGGCGATCCACAGAACGCACCGTGAGCACTGCGCAGCCGTGACGGACCGGCAAAACGGCTTTACATCTGTAGGTGAAGATTAGAGACGAAAAGCATGTTCATCACCCAGGCAAACGGATACTTTACCGTACCGCTTGCAGAAACACGTTGCAAGACTAACCAAGTTCCATTTTAAATACAGACATCAACGCCATTAACAAGCACAGGGACTTGCCAGGTGACAGCTCTTTACTACTATTTTTGACCATCTTCTCAAGCATGGCTCAGTGCTCTGTACGCTGCCAACGCAGCCATTAAACTTCCCCCCGTCTTTGAGCAGTGTGCCCACAAAACACACACAAACACCATCCGCGACCTCTCGAAGCAGTTGCTTCACAGCGTTCCTGTCGGATTGCTGAGATGCCTGGCTGGTGCAGCAGCCAGTAAACTGAAGCAACACGGATCTTTGTTCAGGGTACAGGGTGAGGTCTTGGTGCCAGTTGCTTTGCGTAAAAAGAGGGTGTCCCGACTCCGCCGCCACTCCAGCAGATACTTCCAAGGCTTTCAGGAGCCACGAACGCCTCCATCAGCTGCGTTGACTTCATTATCTCGGAATTCTGCACCTGAATCAGAGCTCTCGGGTTTTTGGGCCTAAGGCTTTAGAAGTTTTGGGCTTCAGGGCTAGGATTTAGTCTTTTAGGGATTAGGGCTTTCGGGGTTTCGGGATTGGGGCTCTAAGTTTTGGGTTTAGGGCTTTAGACCTTCAGGATCCCTCAGCTTTGAACTTGAACTAGGGATCATGGGTTTAGGGCAAGTACACTTACCACTACCTACCGAAGTATGCCGATCGTCTGTTTTTGTGCGGAGACAAATTTACTCAGACTGCAGGCCTTTAGGGTTCAGGTCAGTTGACGGTGTCCGAATCCGCGAGGGTCATGTCGTTCGCTAAACAGCTTTCTGGAAATCAGCTAAATAACAACAAGGCAATCTAAAGTCCCTTCCGAATCCACCGTTGAGTCGCCCGGGATTGAAACAAAGAGCCCTGGACACTCCAGGTAGGCAAGGTGCTACTGGACTGCGGGTAAAACCACGTCTGGGAGAAAAACCCCACAGCCCGAATGTGAACAAAATGGCACCTGCCCGCGGCTCCCTACTTCTGAGAGAAGAGCCCTGGAACAGCTCCAAACTGACTCAGGCACAAACCAAAAAAATTGCAACGAGTCCTGAAACAATTCCCAAACCGACTCAAGAACAACTCAAAAAAGAAAGTCTCCAGGGTTATCGGGGAACGGCGGTGGCAAGGAGTGGGCGGGGAAAGATCTGCAGAAGAGACTTTTCCTTGTAAAAAGTCTGAAAAGAGTCTCTAGAAAAGTCTCGAAAAAGACTCCATTAAATCTCTAAACGTCTTCAGTAAGTCTCCAAAAAGTCCGCAAAAGGGCTCCAACAAATTTCCAAAACTCTCCAAAAAAAGTCTCCCAAAAGTGTCCGAAAAGCCTGTCCAAACCATCATGATTTTTTGGGCCTGACTAGAGAAAGACTAGTTTGGAGACTTATTTACTGACCCAGTCATATGCGCTTGTCTCTCCAAGGGGTGGACATCTGGAGAGACTCTTTGTAGACTTTTTATTGCTCTGTTCACACGCCAAGGCATAGCTTATCTGAGCGATTTAACGCGAGGGGTCTCGGGGTCCCTAAACCCTGAACCCTAAAAGCCCTAAGTTGGGGACTGATGCCCCTATCCCTGGTGTGGCAAATCAGAAACCTGCCGAGGAACTGCAGACTGCTCGTGAAGAGCTTGTTTTGCTCCAAGGGCGGCCTACTTACTGCGGGGGAGGGGGGATTTTAATATGATGCACTTTAGTGGAATATAACACAAATATAATAAATTTTTACTAAACGAATACATACACTATAGCATGTCATATTATTGAAACAAGCATAACATGATCATGTTGTTTTCAACTATCCGTTACAATAACATACATTATAATACAATATCGTACAGTGCAGTACAGTGCAATACAATACAACATAGTATAATATAATTCAACATAACAAAATCTACGATATGATGTAACCTACTGGTGGGGGGTAGGGGCTTGAGGCTAAGCATGATTCAGTTTTGGCCGAAGCATGCCTAAGCCCCCATCCAAGGCACTCCTTCCTCGCGGGGACCTGTTGAACCATGACCCGGGCCACTACGAACTGCGCTTCCTTCGCAAATACAGGCCTAGATGGCCTGAACAACGGCTTGCAGAGCTGATCTAGGGCAGGTTCTCTTGGCCGTCGCTCCACTGGAGTCATCGCAGTAAACTTTGCTCCGCTTTTCAGCCTGCCTTGAACCCTTGAACCCTTGAACCCTTGAACCCTTGAACCCTTGAACCCTTGAACCCTTGAACCCTTGAACCCTTGAACCCTTGAACCCTTGAACCCTTGAACCCTTGAACCCTTGAACCCTTGAACCTTGAACCTTGAACCCCTCAATCCTACAGCTCAACCTTAAAACCCTCAACTCGAAGACCCTAAAACCCTAAAGCCCTCAAACCCGAAAATTCCTCAAGACCCCTCAAAACCCCCCCTCCCCCCAATTCCAAAACCCCTAAAAATTCCCCCAAATGCCTGAAACCCAGAAGCTGGAGGCATGTGGCCTCCCCGTCAAGATGCGCGAGCTTCCGGGCGAGTGCCTTCGCTGCCACGTCAGGGCTTCGGGGTTTTAGGGCTCTGGGGTTTGGTGGGTTTGGTGGGGTTTGGTGGAATTTTGTAGGATGTAGTGGGTTTAGTGGGATTTCGTGCGAATTAAGGTTTAGGGCCGAATTTAGAAGAAGGTATTCTTATGGCGTAGAAAGTAGAGAGCCCCCATGCAATATACAAGAAAATGTACCTACAAAAAACAAACTACTATGCTAAAAAACACATACATACATACATACGTGCGTACGTACGTACGTACATACATACATTACATACGTGTATATATACATACATACAATAATTGCGGTGCTTCTGTTGAAGAATTTCATTTTCGGGGTGAAGAGGTTCCAGAGTTCAAAAGCCAGCCCTGGCCGATGACACACTATAACTCAGCACCCTACCTGTAAAAAACCTAAGCCCTAAAGCCACTAAAGCCCTGTAGCCCCTAAAGATCCTAAACATCCTGAAGCCCAAAACCCTCAACCCTGAACTCCAAACCCTAGACCCTAAACTTTAAACCCTGAACCCTTGCACCCTATACAGAGCAGAAAAGCAACATGGATCAAATGATGCACCAGGAAAAGGAACTGGCCAGGAAGTTGAACGGCTTATGGGTTGGCTGCTCGAAGCAAATGTTCTCATCCACATCGTTTATTTCAATCCTAACCGCAAGTACGATCCCACGAAAGGGGGCCCACAATAAAGAGTAGGCTTTGGGTTCTTCAGGTACAACAGACAGAAACCGGCACCCAAGCAATCTTTGATCGGGGTGGGCGAACGAAACTTGAAAGGAGCCCTGACTGCCAACGAGATTTTGGAATGGGGGCCTCGCCCCCTCAAAGCAAAGACTCGCCCACAGGACGCCTCCCGGGCCCTCCCCACACATGGCCCATACCTCCTGGAGCATCGATGTCCAAGACTAAACCCTAAACCCGAAACCCTAAACCCTAAACCCCAAACCCCAAACCCCAAACCCCAAACCCTAAACCCTAAACCCTACACCCTACACCCTAAACCCAAGCCGAGGCACGGCCGTCACAAAGAGCAGAACACATGATTGCTTCATGGTGGGTGTCGAAAAGTTGGCGAGGACCGCCGTTCAAAGGCTCCAGGCTCGGTTGAAACTAAGCTAAACGCTTGACAAGCCAGAGCTCCGTCGGTGCGGCGCGCGAGTCGGAGGGCACTATGCGAGGTTTAATAGAGGAGCCTGATCAAGAAGCCTTAGGTCTGTATTTGGGCTCCTTGCAGGGATACTAATATTTCGGGGTTTGTTCACCCATATTCAATCTCCTGTGGAAAACCAGGCACACAGGCCTCGAACCCTGTGTGCGCACGTCCAGGCATCCTCACAGAACAAATAGTTGTTGAAAGAAAATCCTAAATTTAGGGTTGCACTTCTATCTGGGGGCATATGGGGTTTGCAGGGTCTAAGGTAGAAAGTATGGGATATTTTTGTTGTACGGGGCTCCAAAAGGGTTTCCATCACAAATCCCTCGAGATTTTCGGGGGTGTTGTCTTTCCCGCCACGAGAAAGACCAGCGCACCTGATTGCCTCGCAGAAACGATTTATGCCCAGAAGGAAAACGGCACAGCGCAACAGAATTGTCTCAGACACAGCTGTGCTGCTGCACGTCAACTTCCGAGAGTGTGAGACTTGCAAGCGACTACAGGGAATATGGGATGACCTCCGGATTCATAAGCACTCTTAAAACATCGTACTTTCGGATGAACTCCCACGCTGCGGTCGTGTCTGTTTCCGGTACGTGCATGGGGCAGTAGTCATGCCCAAAGCAGAAGCGGTCTCTTTCGGCGTTGCCAGAGGATGCGCAACCACAGGTCTCTGGACACCACCACGCCAAGGGCAGGGAGTAGACACTCCCTCTGCATAAGAGGTTTCCACCATAGTCGGTGGGAGCAACGGTCAGGATGGGGCAGCCCACTTCCAACGCGGCTCCCACAAAGGAGCGGAAGCTTTCACTCTCGAAAACAGAAGCGGAACTCAGATGTGCGGCCGTCATAAACGCGGCGTTGCCCCAGAAGTGGCGCCAGGCTGTCCCAGGAGGAGTATCCTGGGTTCTTGTGAAAGAGCTCACTTGAAGTGACCAAAATCGGGATTTATGGTAAGTAATATGGCTACCTTATTATGGTAGCTTAGATTATGCATTCCTCAACAAGAAGCCTGTTGAACGCCAAACCTGAAGCTCTAAATCCCCTTAGATCCCCTTTAGATCCCCAAAAGATCAACATGAACCATCCCCAACCCTAAACCCCAAAACTCTAGACCCCGAAACCTTGATAGATCCCTTGTAGAACCCTTTTAGAACCCTTATGGAAACCCTTCTAGAAACCACTATGGAACTTTTTTGGAACCCTTATAGAACCCCGTATTTCAGCGAAATTCCTCATCAAGAGCCCAGTATCTTTGCAGGCCGCGGGGAAGCTCGGGAGCTGACCGAAGAAAGGGCTCCCGGAGAACATGGAGAAGCCATACCTTGACGGTCACGGTTTAGGGTTTGGGGTTTAGCAGGGAGGGTTTAGGGTTTAGGGCTTTGGATTTGCTTTAGGGTTTAGCGGTTAGGGTTTCGGGTTTAGCGGGTAGAGTTTAAGGCTCCGAGCCCCCAATACTCCTAGCCTGTTTTGGACTTATCTAAGGACTCTCAGAAGGGAACTCACCACCCAACCATTCCTGTCTTTTCTAAGACCTTAGGGCATACCTCAGGCCCCCCTGATAAAACTCTCATTGCTTAACTTAAGGACTTACAGCAGGAAATTCTCATCAGGACCCCCCCCCCCCCGACAAAAGGGTCGGCTCTTTGGGGTTCAGGTGCCGCTGCTGGATGCAAGACCTGCGGCAGCCATGGCGCGGAGTCCTGTAAACCGGCGACGAATGGGGATCCGTACCTTGCCATTCTGGACATGCCCAAACTTACGGAGTCGTAGTGAAACCTTCTTATTGCTTCCAGCTTCCCGCAATCAAAAGAATGAGAAAATGCTCCAGAATATGCTCCGAGGCACATCCACAAGCCCTGGGGCAAGCGAAGCGCAGCCATGTTGCTGCTGTCGAATGGAGTCTCAAAAAAGTGTCGTAATCAAAAGTGTCCGAATCGCTGCAGTACTGTTCCAGAGCTTCGCAGCTTCTGTTTCCGGTGTGGCCAACCTTGTAGGGGCGAGGTACGCCTCTTCTGCTTGCAGCTTGCAAGATACCAATCCAAACTATCTTTATCATTACAGCTGTCACTACTGTTGCTACCAGTACTATCGCAATGGCTACACGGCTGCTACGGTACTAGTACCCAGACCTTCCAAAATCCCGTAATTAAGGAATATACCTTAAATCATATTAGGGGTCCTACTGTAGTTTGATGCATAATCTTTAAGTAAGGGATTTTGGGAAAGTCTGGGTAATCCTGCGCCTCATAACGAGGCTTGCCTTTCTCTGCCTTCACTTTAGCAGGTCCCAGGTTGCTGCGATGTTCACTCACACCTTGCCTGCGCGGCCTCAATAGTTGACCTATGTTCCGCGTTATTCAATTACGCTAAAATATGGGCCTTTGTGCACCTCAAGGGGTATTATGGGGGGGGGGGTGTAATTTTCAGGCCTCAACAATTCGAACACGGTTCCGTGGTATACTAGTACGTACGTTAATATTGATATGAATGTACCACCCCAAATTAATAAGGCGGTTAAAACACAGGTGCCTTCAATAGTCACACGACCGGGGCCCCTTTAAAACCCCAAAATGCTGTGCAAAAAGGGCCTCATAAAATACTAGTGTTTTTCTAGCCCTTTTCGTACTTTCCGTGCATTCTCTCTGTTCACTCACTATATCAGTCATATTACAAGCTCACGCATGAACAATAAAAACAACAATGTAGTGCATGAACGATGTGAGTCTTTGGGGGAGAGAGCGGCTAAGGTTTCAATGTTGGGTGGAACCATAAGAAAAACAGGAACCCTTAAATGAACCCAAAATTTCCCCTTAAAAAACCCTGAAAAAGAATCCGTAACACTGTAGAACCCAAATAGAACTCACAAGCCTCACTCCCTGAACCTTCAAGGAATAAAGTAAGCCGTACAGGCAACCTCGAAGGCTGCGGCTGCAAGGAAGTCCGTCATCGTGCTCCCATTGCTGTCAAGGGGACAATCCTGCAGGGTTTCGGGTTTAGGGCTTTTATGGCTTCGGGTTTGGGGGTTTAGGGTCTTGGGCTGATAGGGCTTGTAGTATAAGGGCTTGTTTGGCCAAAAGAATTCGGAAAGTTTAGGGTTTTATAGTGCTTAGGTTTAGGGCTAAACGGTTACAGGGCTGAGCACGGTGTAGCCTTTAGGGCTTATAGGGTCTAGTCTTTAGGGATTACAAGGTTTGGGGGTTAAGCATTAGACCCTTTGACACAAAACAAAACTCACATGTCTTGCAGCCCATAGGGCTTATGGCTATTTGAACAAAATGAACAATGATTCCTGAGGAGAACCCAGAATCGGCAAATTCCCGCTTCCAGTCGACGTACTCTTGGTTGAGCATCGTGCGCATGCGGGAGATGTCCGGTTCCAGAACCGGAACGGAAAGCTTCACAGGAAATGCGTCTGGGAACGCCTTTTCCTGCACTGCCGTCTCAATGTACCTGTTACCTGTGATGTTGCTTTCGGCGGGCTGCGTGACGAATTCCCGCACGATGCCGTCTTTGAAACCCATGGCAAACGCCTGGTTCCCTCCACAGAGTTCATACTTCACCTGGAGCATGGTCTCTCTTAGCGGCGCCAAGATGAGGAGGTAAGGAAGCAGGAGAGCAGCCGAGAGCACCGAGAAGAGCACCAAGTTCTCCAAGCTTGGACACCGACGGCTTTTTTTGATCTTCACTTTCTGCAGGATTTGGATCTTCTGCTGCAGGTTCGTGGGCACCAGGGCCGAGAAGATGAACTCGTCCACGTGCAAGACGGATTCCAAGGCCACTGAGTTTAGCATTAGCTCCGTAATCGAAGTGGTGCGTCCCAACCAAATACAACCCGAGATCAGCAAGGCGCAGGCGACGCAAATGCGGCCAAGGCAAACGCAGGACATCGCAAGACCCCGCTGCCAAGACAACTGCCAGAGCTCTTGCACGTTGGGTCGGGAAAGCCGTGCTTTGGACCAGGCGCTGCCCAACAAAATGCCCTTCAGGACATACCTGCACCCGACAAAAATTTTCCAAGCATAATCATGAGCCCTAAAGAAGTATGGTATTTTAGAGCTCAGGTACCAGATGCTCCGCAGCTCCCTGAAGATGCAGATGTTCCAGAGTAGGATGCACAAGACCGACAGCAAGACACCCGGCTGAAAGTATGGCAATTGAAAAGCCTCCTCCCCAGACTTGCTGAGGGCAAGGTAGCTGTTGATCTCACCTGAAGCTGCGACACAGAATCTCTTCTTCTCGCCTGAAACAGCTGTCTGCTGCTGCTGCTGCTGCTGCTGCTGCTACTGATGCTACTGCTACTACTACTACGACGACGACGACGAGGAGGACGAGGAGGACGACTGGCAGCTACTAGCTACCGCGGCTGCTGCGGCTACTGCCAGCAGCAAATCTACAATACTATTGCTGATGCTATAGCTGCCACTTCTACACAGGCAGGAACGAATCATTTATCTTGTTGCAGCTGTGTGTAGCAGGTCTAGTTTACTAGTCTAGTATAAATAAGCGAGGAATTGCTCACAGCAGGATGACTACAAGGAAATGCTCACAGCATTGTGACAGCAAGCAAGTGCTCACCGCAGGATGACAGCAACGACATGCTCACAGCAGGATTGCAAGAAAGAACAGCAGGATGACAGCAAGGCACTGCTCACAGCAGGATGGCCCACAGCAGGATGACAATAAGGAAATGCTTTCGCAGCGGGATGACAGCAAGGAAATGCTTGCAGCGGGATGGCAGCGAGGAAAGGCTTACAGCAGGATGACGCCCTTAGAACCATGAGACTGTCAATATCTAAAGGCATAACAACATATAAATGAAATGTAATTCGCAAGAACTCGGCTAAGGTTCACAATGAAGCTCGACTGCCGCAAAGTTACCAACAAGTGCCACCTGAGCAGTAGAGAAGATCAGAGAGCCATCTTCATCGCAGACCTCCATGCTTCTCTGCTTCTGGGTGGTTTCATGGGCTCAAAAAGGGGTTTTGGTAATGGATCCAGCAGGGATCCATAAGGGTTTGGATAAGGGTTTAGGGTATTTGTGGGGTTTCTTGGTTTTAAGACTTCTTTACATTTCCATACTGGGATTAAGGGTTCAGAAGTTTAGGGTTTGAGGGTTTAGGGTTCTTCACAGTCTTTCATCGCAGACCTCCATATTTACTTCAATAGGGATCTTGCAGGGATTTATAGGGGTTTCTTGTTCGGGTGTCTAATTTTTTTCACCGTAGTGGGCAACCCCATTGTTTACGAAAGGTCCCTACCATGGTAACTTAGATTATGTTCCTTAGCGAGAACCCTAACGAGCTTGGGATCACATCTGGAAAAAATGTGAGGGCAAAAAGTTTTGCACAATAATGTGCTCGGGCCACGGACGCTGCTCTTCGTTTTGTTCAAGCGTGTTGCTGTTGTGTCTGAGTGATGAACACTATGTGGCGACCGTTTCGAGCTCGGGGCTGGCAGCTGCCGAATCTCTTTTTTTTCCGGTGTGCGGCGCAGCGTATTTGTTCATTCAGGCGCAGCACGATCGTCACCCACGCCGCATCTCTAATTCGAACCATCAAACCCTCGTTCCTTCTGAACCCGAGACTCTTCACATCAACGAATCGCTCCTTAGGACGGTAGCAAAGCTTCAGAACCGCAGGACAACCCTGTCATTGGTGATTGAACAGAGCGCGGTCGAATCATGCGCCGTGTGCTTGCATGGCACATGCTCGAACTCAACACACATTGACATGACTTTCATGACTTTCCGTTCTTTGTGCCCCCGCCTTGGTCGCAAGGCTCTTTTCCGCCAGGTCGACGTAGAGGTAGTCGTGAGCAAAGCTTCGGCGCCATTCTTTCGCACTCTCCAGCTGCTCCGAGAAGTCTTCGCCAAGGAACTCTGGCGACAAGAGGATGACGATGAAGAGGATCTGCATGGAGGCATTCAGCAGAAGCAGGATGCACGCAAAGATGCTGTCCGTTACGTTGCTCCAAGAGAGTACCAATGGGATGCTCCAGGCGCTCTTCCTGTCGAAACATACCTTAAAGGCTGAGTAGTCTGGCCCAACAAAGGTTAAGCAAAAAAAATTGCGGTAGCGTGATATCCAACCCCAAGAAGTTAAAGGTTTACCTACTCAGCGACAGAGAAACAATCTCCTCGCTTGGATCCTTCTCATCGCCAGGCTCCTGGGACGTCCCACTCGCGCCCACAGCGCCCCTCTTCTTGCCTGGCAGGTACTTGGGGTTTTTGGACCTAAGGCTTTGCAAGAGCTCATGTGTATTCTGCAGTGAGTTTGAGGCCAGGGGATTCAGGCCAGAGAAATGAGGCATGCGTTCCGTGCGTCGACCCGAACCTTCGGCTGACGCGATCTCCCTTCGGTATGCGCCTCCTGCGCAGATGACAAGCGGTATCGAGAACAGCACCACGATCATCAGGAACAAGGGGAATACATCAAGAGAACCTTGAAAGAAGCCCTTAAAGAAAGCAACAAGAGACCAGCAAAGAGCCCGGAACTCCCCAGGGCTTTTGTAAGGCCTTCCACAGGGATGCTCTCCTCACTGCCCGAGATGGTAATGCCCATCTCCTCCTCGACTGGCTCGGGGGGTTTTGGGTTCAGGGTGTATAGGGTCTAGGGTTTTGGGGTCTTGGGTTTCGGGTTGCGGCTAGCTGGTGTGTAGCGTTGACGCCTTCCGAAGCTCCAACGAAGCTCATGCCTTGAGTCTTTCAACCCTAAGAACCCTAAACCCCACATCGCTTGAAGGATCACGAGTCTTTGTGAATAGGGTTGTGAGTATGGTAACGCTGCTCATCCTTCTTCCTGGCCCAAGCCCAGGATCTCAAAGCAGGCTCCTCCAGCTGCCTCTTCGAAGACTCCAAGTCATGTTTCTGGCTGCCAAACCTGAGAAGAGGAACCCTGTAAGGCTTGCTTTAAAGTGTTCCTTTGAGGGTTCCTTCAAGGGCTTTATATTTTGGAGCCCTTTACAAGAAGCCTCGGGTCGAAAAGGCACTGTTTAAGGAACCCTTCCGAAACACCCTTGTAGGGTTTTGCCTTTAGAAGTAAGGAACCACCAACTCCGCCCTAAGAGCCCAGGACACCCAAGCATCGGCCAAGAAACTCCTCACCAAGCTTGGACAGGAGCTCTGCCTTCCGAGCACAAGAAGCCCAGCATAGGGCGGCTGCGTAAGGACTCCTTTTGTACGGGGATCCGTGGTGTAGCACAATGCAAGAGAGTATCATTTCATGCGATTAAAAATGCAGGGTTCCTTTACGGCTTCCTTTTAAACGGGATGATGTAGCTGGCTTTTGGGCTCCACGTGGACAAATGGCTTAAGCCTGAAGAAAAGAAGCTGAAGAAGCAGAACAGGGCTCCTTTTAAAGGCTTCCTTTCAGTCCTACTACTTGTATAAGGGTTGCCATAAACACACAGGGCTTAGTGCAGGTGCCTTAATCTGCTGCCTCGCGAACAGCTTGAGGAGGAATGATGACAGCATAAGGGTCAGGGTTTAGGGCTGGTAGCAGTTTAGGGTTTAGGCGTGAGGGTGTTAAATTTAGGGGATGAGGGCTTGGGGTTCTTATCGCCTCAATCTTTAGAGTTTCAGGAATGAGGGTCACGCAACTCGTCACCATACCAGCAGCACCATCATCATGTTTACAGTAGTGATATGTAGTGATGATGGTCGCCTCATGATGATGATCACGATGGTGCAAATCGATAAGAGTGGTGCTGGGATAAGGGTGGTGCTGGTGTGGATGGCAATGATGATGATGATGACGACGACGATGATGATGACCATGATCATGATGATGATCATGGCCAGGATCATCGTCACCGTCACCGTCATCGCACTATGTCGTTGTTGCTTTCTTGTTTGTTCTTCCTATCAAGCCCTAAACCCCTAATCCCTAGACCTCACATGATTACTCAGTCCGGCTTCGTAGCTCGGATGCGTGAGCTTTTCGGGCATCGAACTTCAGGATCGAATCGAAGGTTCTGGATAGGCTTTTTGGGGGTGAGGGTTTAGGGTAGCGCTCCAATCACGGTGCTTTTCTTGACATGCTCCCGTGCACTACCAAGGGTGCAAGTCTTTTCCCACCAACCCCCAAAGTCTGAACCGACTGAGAAACCGTACACTACACGCGACTTCTTCTTGATCTGCTTTCAAACTTGCGAAGCCCATTTGGTCACGGCATTTTTGGCGCCTTCCCTGTACCCCTTCACTCAAACCCCTACATCCCACAAACCCGACCCGCCCTCTACCCGGCTAACGCCCCAACACTGGCCCAACACCCAAACCCCTACACCCCATGCCCCCGCCCCACCGACACCCATCCCTCCACCCGTTTATCCCCTCCCACCGAGCCACGCCCCCCCCCCCCCCCCCCCCCCCCCCCCCCCCCCCCCCCCCCCCCCCCCCCCCCCCCCCCTATGCCCCCGGCTCAGCCAGCCCCCAAAAAAACGCTAAGATTCTTCTTTGTCCTGATTTGCAGCTTGCCCATTTAATCGCCCTTCACTCAAACCCCTCTTCCTGGCCCTCTACCTGGCTGACGTCCACCCCTCCGCCCCGCACCCCGTGCCCTCCCTGCCCCAGCCACCCCCCCAAAAAAACGCTATAGTAAACCCAGACCCTAAACCCTAAAGCCCCTGCCCTGCTACTCTGTCGCTGGAGCCTGGCGCCTTTTACGGGGTCGGCGGAAGCGGCATTAGCCCTTGTACATGTGTGTAGGATCCTTTTCTAGCCCAAAGCTCCGCCGCCTTGAGGTTGCTCATCTCGCGTCGCAGCTTCGCCAACTCCTGGTCCACATAGTCCCGCTCCACGAAAAGCTTCGGCATGGGAGAGAAGGAACGAAGTTGGGGGAGGGGGGAAAAAAGGAGAGGGCAACAGAGCGAACTGAGAGCTGAAGCTTATATGCTCTATGCGTCCAAAGCATGCCAAGTGAGCCCATGCAAATTTAGGAGTCGGAAGAGTTGCTAAGAGTATCCCCTTATAGTCTGTGTTAAAGACAAACTAAATATAAAAACCCAGAAGCCTAAACCCCAAAAAGGTTTACCGTAAGACCTCGGGTTGCATGCTTCAGCCTTCTACCTACCTCGCTTCCGCTCTGGGAGCCGCAACTGCTTCAGCCACGGGAAGCTTCAGAACTTTCCAGGCCTAGCATTGGTACAGGTCGTACTATAATCATATTGTATCATATTACTATAGCATATTGATGAGATTGAATCAGATGACATCATAATAGATCGGGTTATGAAATATTCTATCATATTGTATCACGTGTACCTTAGTGTACTATGTTTCCATAAATCATATCATAGGATGTAAGGCGTGTGCGGGCTAGTGAGGGACATGTGGGTTATAGCGTTTTACCAAAGGGCACATGCAGGAAGCAGGAAAGACACAGACACATTCATACCGATACCCCCAACCTGCGGAGTCCCCACAAGTGAAATCGAAATTCGTGCCACCTTGCTTGTCCTTTCAGCCTTCCTGTAACTTGGTGCACTTCGCGAATTGAAACGTTTCTGAGAGCGTGACCCTATAACCTTTACACTCTACTCTGCCCGAACAGAACCCGAATGAAGCCTTGCCATTCCGCGCTGAAAGCGCTATGTGTTGTAGTCGTCGTCGTGTGAAAAAAAGGGGGGGGGGGGGGAAGGGGGGGGGAGGGGGGGGGGAGGGGGGGAGGGGGGGGGAGGGGGGGGGGAGGGGGGGGAGGGGGGGGAGGGGGGGGGGGGGGGGGAGGGGGGGGGAGGGGGGGGGAGGGGGGGGAGGGGGGGGGGAGGGGGGGGAGGGGGGGGGAGGGGGGGGGAGGGGGGGGGGGGGGGGGGGGGCGGAGGGGGGGGGAGGGGAGGGGAGGGGGAGGGGGGAGGGAGGGGGGGGGAGGGGGGGAAGGGGGGGGGAGGGGAGGGGGGGGGGAGGGGGAGGGGAGGGGGGGGGGAGGGGGGGGGGAGGGGGGGGGGGAGGGGGGGGGGGGGGGAGGGGGGGGGAGGGGGGGGGAGGGGGGGGGGGGGGGGGGAGGGGGGGGGGAGGGGGGGGGGGGAGGGGGGGGGGGAGGGGGGGGGGGGGGGGGGGGGGAGGGGGGGGGGGGGAGGGGGGGGGGAGTTGAGGCGGGGTGGGAATTTAAAAAAAATCCTCAGAATAAGAGGGGGCACCGTGAGAATAAACTGCCAAACCTGGGGAATAAGAATGCCAACTGGTGGAATAAGGAATGGAACCCTCTGAATGCCCTGAAGAAACCCGCAGAACTCCAAAGAGCCCTGCAAATCCCTTGGCCAAGAGAGAATGAGGAAAAAACCATCAGGATAAAAAAAAATGCGCAGCCCATTTCTGTTGCAGTTTTCACTACGAGTCTCCGGACCCGAAGACAGGCAAGAGCTTCTATGGCACTTATAACCTGTCTCGGAGCCCTGCTACTGCCAAACCTCAAGAGATCTAGGGTTCCGGGTTTAGGCTTAAGGCTTTGGGTTTAGGTTTTATTTAGCACAGTAAGGAAAGGCAAAAAGCGTCCTATTTCGTGCGCTCTTTGATCGGCAACTACGAAGCTCTGTCCTGCAAACCCTTAACAGGTACTGTTTGGGGCGGCAGTCAGAAAACCCCTGACACTTATCCCGCAACTTTAACACCCTCCTTGTCATCAAACCGCTTTTTTACATGACACTTCTGTCTTCCAGCAGGCGGCCTTGAGGTGAAACTGCCTCCAGCCCAGCCGCAGGTGAAACCCCTAGAAACAATTGCAGTGGGTTTAGCGTTTCATAGCATACTATATAGTACACCCCAGTGTACTACAGTATGTTTCTAGGTTGTTACCGAAAGCACCAGTGCGTGGCCCGGAGCCAAACGTCATAGTACATTCAATAGCTGCAGTCATCGCATGTCGCGTTAAGGCCGAGCAAATCATCAAAGAGATAGTGGACTGGGAACATGAGGACCTTGGCCACACACCATCCGTATCCTTTGTTGGTCACAGGGGCGATCGCTGTGCTTGTACCAGAAGCATTTCTTGCAGCATGCTTCTGGAAGAATTTCCAACCAGCACAGCCAATGAAAGACACGTAGACGTAGGACCAGATGGCAGCAGCGACAGTGCCCCAAAAAGCAAGGGCGGCAAAGGCCACAAGAAGCACCACAAAAATCAACCTTGGCAATCGTGCTTTCGAAGGGCCCCAAAAGGGCCATGTGCTCAGGAAAATTGGACAGGCAAGGCTATCTGAAACTGGGGCCAGGCTTGCAACTGAAATGTGTAATGTAAACAATTTTGTGGCAAACAAAGGTTTCAACAGAAAATTCTGCAGAAGCTTCCAACGCAACTTTGCAAGACCAAAGGCTGTCTAAGTCAGGAGTTGGAAAGGTGCGTGCTTGTCCTATGGGCCCCGACACTGGGTACTCAACTTGGAACCTCTTGCGTAATCATACTTTGGCATAAACCCACAAAAAAACCCGTAACCCCTAAGCCCCAAACTGGCTATGCATGACGAACACCCCTTGGATCCTCACCGTACCCACAGGCCTAAAGGTTTCCAAAGGAACGCATGGCAACCCCAAGGCCCACATGGCTCCAGGGTTACCAAGGGGTTTAGGTTTCCCGGTTTCCCCCCCCCCCCCCCCCGCCGGCCGAAACCACCCTGAACGCCAAAAAAAGGTGACACCCCAAACCCAGGAGCATCTGAGTACTGGCAGCGCAGTCCCTAAACCGAGACAAAAGATCCCATCTCAAGACCTTGTCTGGTGGAGGGGTTGAGAATTCAGTGTCCTTTCTGATCTGATTGTGGAAGTTTGCGGTGTGTGGGAAACCTCTAGTTTCACAAGCTCCTGTATTCATTGAGGATATCCAGGGTTGGGGCTAAGTTTTTGTCTTCAGGAACCCTACGCCGAATCTTAAAACCTAAACCTTCAAGTCTCATGCTTTAGCTAGTGTTTCAGAGTTTTTCTATTCAGGGTTGAGGTTCTGGGAGTTAAATCCAGAACTTGCCCCAAGCCCTATAGCCTCAACCATAAGCGGGGTTGGGATGGAGGGCCTGGGCTCTGGGATCGGAAGACTGCATGGGAGTTTGAAAGTGAAATGTATACATATATATATATATATATATACGTATACTGTCTCCTTTTTTCTGGGGCGAGGGGGGGGGGCTTCATCTTACATGTCCATACCATCTCGCTTCTTTCTCCGGCCCAATCTCACTTCCCTGTTAACGGCTGTCCCGAAGGAAATCATAACCGACGCGGTATGTATGACTCCTACAACAGAACTTTATTCTGTTGCTCACATGATCTTTCCATACGTCGTTCAGCCGGGCCAACGGGGGAGGTCATACTAATCGCTATTGTTGCCATTTCTGGTATCTCGACCATTCGTGTCTACTCTACGAAGTGCGCAAACTTGTTGAAAAGCTTTGGTTAGGGGAATGCTTTGTTATCACTGTCATGATGCTTGTTGCCCAGCAGCAGCTTCGTCTTAGATCCCAAGGCCATGCTCTGCCGCAGTTCCAGCTGGCTGGCGCTGTTCGTGCTCACGTCCGGCTCATCTGCTCAAGGGCTTCAGGCTTAGAACCAAGAATCTGGAATCCCTAAACCCCAAACCTTTACTTGAAGCAATGGGCTAGTTAGGTATGGAGCATGTCTCAAGGCTTTCCAAGAGCATCAAAAAAGGTGTCGCAAACTCGTTAAACTGCTGTTGCCATCTTACCCTGAACCCGAAACTGCTGTTGGCGTCTTACTCTCAACCCTACACCATAAACTCTGAACTTTATGACACCCCCCCTTTTTCAGGGACCACAGAGCAATAAGGACACGCCGAAAACTCAGTATTCTTACTACTTCTACTGCGATTACGATCATGAATGTTTTTAGCCATTGCTTGCCGCTTCTGTTACTGTTATGATTGCTATTGGTGCTACTACCGCTATCAGAAGCACGGCTGCTACTGTCTAGCACGGTTGCTATTACTACTACAATTGTGTTTGTTTCTTCCATTGTGCGATAGTCGCTTTTATGCTGCTCGTATCATGAAAAACCTCTGCAACAACAACAACAACTACAACTACTACTACTACTACTACTACTACTACTACTACTACTACTACTACGACGACGACGACGACGACGCCGACGCCGACGCCGACGCCGACGCCGACGACGACGACGACGACGACGACGACGACGACGACGACGACGACGACGACGACGACGACGACGACGACGACGACGACGACGACGACGACGACGACGACGACGACTACTACTACTACTACTACTACTACTACTACTACTACTACGGCGGCTGCTGCTGCTGCTGCTGCTGCTCCTGCTGCTACTCCTGCTGCTGCTACTCCTGCTGCTGCTGCTCCTGCTGCTGCTGCTCCTGCTGCTGCTGCTCCTGCTGCTGCTGCTCCTGCTGCTGCTGCTCCTCGCTGCTGCTCCTCGCTGCTGCTCCTCGCTGCTGCTCCTCACTGCTGCTCCTCGCTGCTGCTCCTCGCTGCTGCTCCTCGCTGCTGCTCCTCGCTGCTGCTCCTCGCTGCTGCTCCTCTCTGCTGCTCCTCGCTGCTGCTCCTCGCTGCTGCTCCTGCTGCTGCTCCTGCTGCTGCTCCTGCTGCTGCTCCTGCTGCTGCTCCTCGCTGCTGCTCCTGCTGCTGCTCCTGCTGCTCCGGCTGCTCCTGCTGCTCCTGCTGCTGGCTGCTGCTCCTGGCTGCTGCTCCTGGCTGCTGCTCCTGGCTGCTGCTGGCTGCTGCTCCTGGCTGCTGCTGGCTGCTGCTGCTGGCTGCTCCTGGCTGCTGCTCCTGCTGCTCCTGCTGCTCCTGCTGCTCCTGCTGCTCCTGCTGCTCCCGCTGCTCCTGCTGCTCCTGCTGCTCCTGCTCCTGCTGCTACCGAAGTTGCTGCGGCGGCTGCTGCTGCTGCTGCTGCTACTACAACAAACCCTATGCCGTGAAACCTGGCCCGAAGGGCGGCTAAACTCTAACGATCCTGAACCAGAAGCCCTAGCAAACTGGAAATGTTGTGCTTACAGTTTGGGGTTTAGATTGCCAAGGTCTCTCCTGGCTCGTCCATGTTGATAAGCTCGGTGTCATCCATGGCCTTGTCGAGGTCGATGCCCTGAACCTTAACAGGGTTCACGCTTTGGGGCTTGCAGTTCAGGGATTTGCGGATATTTGATTCCGTGTTTACCCAAACCCTCAGAAACACCTCCCCAAATGACCAGGATGATGCTTAATTTGCGGAGAACCCTGTACTAGTACTTCCCTTTACCCCTAAACGTACTAAACCCTTAGCCATAAACCCCTCAACTCTAAAGCCCGAAACTCTAAGCCATTGAACATCCTTTTTTTGATTTAAGCCATCGAAATCCAACGGATGGTTTACGGGGTTTAGCATTTGGGGTAGTCATGGGGTTCTACAGCAATGTGGGTTTAGTAGGTTCCTTGACAGATTTTCAGAGCACAATGTTGGCAGTGGAACGCCGTTCTTCTGATTCTACAGCGCAATATCAACTCCCTAAATGCAGCCTGAGCCGGAGAAACACGCGATGAATATCAGCGACTGTCCACTGGTCTTAAACCCTCTTCATGGAGCATTCCAGGTCGTATACCCGGTCATATACTCTCCAGCTTTTCTACTGTCCTGCACTGTCTTGTGGCTCTTTTTTTGGGAGTATGCAGGGGCTAGTTTGGGAACCCAATGCGGTTGCATCCCTGTGACGGCAAACACAAGAAATACCGTTCACACCCAACATAAATGTGAACAAGAACTTACAGACTGGGCGCTGGTAATCGTAACAGCAATAAGAATAGAAGTATAAGTAGAAGTCGACGTAAAACACAAAAGAAGAGAACGCAAAAATAGAAGCAGTGGTAGTGGTAGTCGTGGTGTTGTTGGGAGTGGTAGAAGTAGAAGCAGCAGTACGTAGGCTTCTGGTTTGGGTCTCCCGCCTCACGCAGCAACTTCTTGCTCTTGGCCTCTGCCTCCTCCTCGGCCAAAACACTTGGGTGGCTTTTCCTTCATCACAGGCTTTTAAAGGCTGCAGGGGCAAAGTCGGGCTTTCCAAAACGTAGGGCTCCCGTTTGGGGCTGTTACAAGAAGGACTATGATGATGGAGTGAATACAGTATTTTGGAGGACATACGGGGACAAGTCTTGTTGGACATAGACATATGGAGGCTCTCGGGGGCTGAACGGGGTTGTATACGGGAAATATGGGAGTTTCTCACAACGGGGGATTCCCTCGCTCAATCCTCATATTCGTGACACCTGTCTCTTGGCAAGTGTGTTTGATTTAAGGGGCTGGGGTTAATGCCTTTTTCGAGGTGTGCCTATCAGAGTCGCAGCTGAAGCTTCTGGACTCCGTAGGTGTTCCAAGAACCTACTGAAATAAACAAACATAGGGGCCAAAACATCCAAAACATAAATGTTGGGTAGTGCATTACTTACCCATGGGGTCATATTAGCGGAACAGTTTTATAAGCCGTTACTACGACGGTGATTATTTCTGTAACGGCCCGTCCTGGCATGAATTATACTGATTGCGATTACGTAGACGGGGACCCGATGTGAGATGTTGTTACCATGGTCGCTGCCGTGTCGCTACAACTTACTTCGATTCTTGGTAAACCACAGGCCAGGCAGGCAGTCCAAAGTCCTAAAGCTTGTCAGCTGCGTTCGAGGAGTCTAAGCCCTCAGGGTTTAGAGTTTCGACCCCTCTGGCAACTCTAAACAACTGTACGTGCTAAACTCTCAAACCCCCAAAGCACTACAAGACCAAGGCGCTTTCAAACCCGGAGAGAATCCTGAAGTTAAAACATGGTACGATTTAGTGTTGTCGCGACTCGGTGGCGGTTGTGTAGGTTGCCTGGCGTGTTTCGTGGGCGTTGAGTAGCAGCATCATCAGAAGAGTCGAAACATCTACCTTTCGCTGCGGCGCTGAACCTACTGTAATTTGCAGCGCTTCTGGGCCTTGCCTGGAGAAACAAAGAAAGCACCGCGTGGACGCCTTTCGGTTTACGCAAGGCCCAGAAGTGCTGAAATTGCAGAAGTATCCGCGCTACCGCAAAACAACGATCTCTAGACTCACTGAACTCAAGCACACGAAACCTCTTTCTAACAAAGAAAACAGGGGATGGAAACAAATGCAAGCGAACGCAACTACCCCCC